TCATCTACATATCGGAGCCACATTTTTGGGTTAAAGGTTCGCATAACTTCCTCTTCCAGTCGTTGTAGTACTAGTTCAGCTAGTAGACCTGATATTGGCGATCCCGTTGGTGTAACCCTAACCTGTTGATAAAACTTTTCATCCAACTGGCAGTAGTTATTGAGACAGAGTTTAAGCATCTCTGAAACGTGTTGTGTTGGAATGCAGGTTGGATTATCTTGCAGGCGTCGGATTACGCTCTCAATCCCCAGGTCATGTGGTATTGAGGAAAACAGGACAACCACATCAAACGATTGAATACACTCATCAGGACTTACTTTGAGGCCTTGGATCTTCTGGAGAAATGCCTGAGAGTTTTTGATGCTATATTGTGAGCCATTGGCGAGGTGTTTCAGGTGCCTGTATAACCATTTAGCGAGGTTATAGGTGGGCGATCCAATAATCGACACTATGATCCTCAATGGCGCACCTTCTTTGTGCACCTATGGGAGGCCATATGCATGGGCTTTCCGGGGGTCGTTGAGAATCATGCGCTTGGAATCATCGGGGGTTATGAGTTTCAGTCGAGTGAGCTCATTCACCCTCTTTTTTACAGCCGCGGCTTGCTTTTTAGTCGGGTCATCCGCGAGTGTTGCGTAGGCTTCTCTGTCGTTGAAGACTTGGTTCGCCTTGTTGACGTAATCACTCTTTTCCATGATGACGGTCGCGCCACCTTTGTCAGCAGACACATTCACTATACTGTCGTCTGTGTTAAGAGAGTGTAACCCCTTTTCTTCATCGATAGGCAAGACTTGGTGGTGCTTCTTTTGTCGAAGTAGTCCAGTGGCACAGCTTCGTATGTCCGCGCGAATGTCTTCAGGCACAGTAGAGGTCAGTAAAATAGATTCAAGGTTCGCTAGGAAGTTTGTGGGCGCAGCATCAGTGTGGCTGAATTTTCTTCCCTTAGATAGTAGACTCAATTCAGCGGATGTCAGACTCCTTTTAGAAAGGTTAACAACTCTTGTCGACCTGCTGATTTCGTTGACTGGGTGAAGAAGGGATTGCAGTTTCACTCGAAGATCGGCTCGGCTTTTTCATCCTGGCGTCTAAAGCGGTGGCGTTTATTCGTTGTAGCACGTCTCCGAACACATACTCAAGCAATGCTGAGATACACTGGCCTCGGAGGTCGGATATTGTTGCATCGAATCTGCAAAGACGACGGTGAACGTCTGATATGATAGCATTCAAAACGCGAAATCCGTATTTGTTTGCAAGTAGCCTCCTAGTCTCGTTTGATAGGGTGGGCTTGAAACGAAGAGACTTCGGTAGGATGCCATGATCGCGACATCGATGAAGGAACGTCAGTGGCTTGTAAGTTGTAGTCTGCCTATACATACATGCATATATGCAGAATGGAATTACAAACCAAGATAAGAGAAACTGAAATGGCAATTTCTGACTTATAAGCCATCGTCAGCCAGTGGTATCCAACCCCGAAGTGTAAAACGCTTGGGACACGATCCCGCAACTTATTAAATAGGAGTCCAACGCCCTTAACTACTGAACCCCAAGGCACAAAGGAAGAAGCACGTTCCGTAACCTGATCGGTGAGCGCCCACCTTTCGCCTTGCTCACAAGCTTGGAATTCATCATGACAATAGCAGATCTCACAGAAGACGAACGGTTCACAATCCGAAATACAACTGTAAACGCCTTAAAGGGTCGAAATCAGTTTACAATACTATCGCATGAGGAACAGAAAGTGTTGAAAACCCTGAGAACTAACAAAAACATAATCATTCTCCCAGCTGACAGAGGCGGCTCGATTGCTATTTTTTATAAAGCGGACTATAAAGCAAAGATTTTATCATTGTTAAAAGGTAGGTCAGCTTATAAGCCACATTCCGCGGACCCTACCAAAGCACAACCTTCGTCTTTTGATAAAGTGCTGAAACGCCTCACAGGGAAAAAACAACTGTCGTGAGACATATCTAAGTACCTGAAACAAACTGAGCACACCATCGCTAGGATCAATAGACTACCAAAAGTTCACAAAGCTGAAGTGCCTTTGCGACCGATTGTATCGTTAATCGGGGCACCCATCTACAAGATTTCCAAGTGGCTATCCCACCCACTTCATCCACTTACGAGGAATCGTGAAACTTCGATAGTGAACTCAACAGAGTTTCTAAAGAGATTAAAATGAATCACAGTTTCCACCGACGAGATAATGGTCTCCTTCGATGTCGTCTCCCTCTTTACGTCTATACCACTGGAGTTGGCAAAACAATACACAGAGGATCGCCTGAAGTCCTATGACACGGATATTCCCTCTACTGTCTTACTCGAACTCATAGACCCTTCTATAAAAACTAATTTTTCGTTCGACCAACAGTATTACCAACAGCTGAAAGGAGCCCCAATGGGTCCACCTATCTCAGTCTTCCTCGTCGAGATTACTATGAAAAAACTGGAGGTCAAAGCTCTTCCATCAGGTAACCCCATGTTGTGGTTGCGATATGTGGACGACACATTTGTGACCGTTAAAAAGGATCAACTGGAAACGCTCCACAACACGATCAACTCAACAATGCCGAGCATTAAATTCACATCATACATGAGATAATACTAATTCCTAAAATGTGTTTTAATGGAAACTTCATTAAAAGACTGTTGTCAAACGTTCTTCTATTTGTACTATAATATATACTCAGTTTTTTGTATGAACAGGCTCTCTGTACATCGAAAACGGACGTTTCTTAGATCACAACCATTTTTGACATTCTTTCACCCTTTCGCTTTTCTGAAAAGATGATATTTCTAAGCAACCTAACATTACCTTCAATGTTTATTTTGCGCCTTCAGTTCTCTTGAAGTTGTTATTTGCTAATACAGATATTGGGCCCATGGATTGTTGCCGGATTGCCAGTGATTAGCAATCATTCGTAAATTCTGACACCTTTCACCCGGTTAGGTCACCAACTATATATGCGTATATGTATATTTTTCACAGACGTGAGAGAAAGCTCATGCCATATGGATGATTAGTGTTTTAAATTTTCAATTTATCAGTATATCAGTATCAGTTTATTACGGGAAATATAGGCGAGCGCTTTTGTATCAGGTACTTGGTGGCATCGCATTTCGGCAGCAACCGTGTCTCTAGTGCATACCAGCCCACTCAGGCATCGGTACGTGTGTGCGTAAATTGGTGCGTTCTCCCGTCCTTCTCCCAGGGACGGACCCAGGCGGAGGTCTTGAATTCCTGCTCAGTTTTGCAATCCTCAGTCATGCTATCACAGACGCTCAGGGGGCACTGACTGTCTGACGAGATGCGTCGTGGACGCACCGTCATTTTCCACTCATACCTCGTGTCGGCGACTATCTGTTTGGTAGCCTCCTTCACTTCCACCAGGTCGTATTCAAAGCAGCCATCTGACTGGTTTTTCAGATCGATCAGACTCTTGTTCACAACACTCCTAAATTCCGGGGCGGCCATTTCTTCATCTGTCATGGTTCTTTTCGCCCCATGCAGTGGCTGGTAACGGGGACATTCAATGGGCCTTGGGCGTGACCTATGGGGTGCATCTGGCGTCTGACGTCCAGGCGACGACTCGGTCGTCGTGTTCATCACAGAGCAAGCCAGGCTGCCTCTGTAAAGGGCGGAAATAGTCAGGAGAACGAGCAGTGACTGCATGCTGAAGGGCTGCCAGTATCGCAGGGATTGAAGTTGAGAATTTATAGCGCAGGCGCCGAAGGACCGCCATTGGTCCACTTCTGAACACCGACTCTCTGCACATCCAGAATAGCAGTTTGTTTACAGGACCTGTCTAATTCGGTTTTTGATCTCGGGGCGACATGCGGCAGGTTCCGCTACCTGCAAAACAAAGTTAAACTCATGTCCCGCACTCTCGCCAGACAGGAGTTTAAGTGAAAACACCTACCTGTTTGTGCTAAATCGCATCTCCGAAATGCAACACGACGTCCGAGGACACGTACTGCGGCTTGTTAGCTGGACAACTATATTATACAGTAGATGTGCTAACTCATGAAATGTCAACCAAAATGTCGAAGTGCGTTCTCGCTGCGAAAAGATAAATTAAGTAGCGTTGTAAAACTAATCATGATGCAGCATAAATCTATAATGATCCAGTTACCTCAGGGTGTCGGCTTTCGAAAGAACTCATTTTCGGCTGCATGCAAGATCTATACTCTGCAAAAAATGACTACTTATGTGGCATGCAATTTTCTCATTGATTTTCGATGCCCTTGAAAATTCAATCATATTTCATGGAAAAATATTCCTTCTTTTACTTATTCCGCAGAACATCACGTCTTCTCCCGATTTCATACTCAAAAGAAGAGTATAATATGCTTTCAAAAAAGTTTCTAATTATGAGATTTTTTAATACCGTTAAATGGCCGTTCATGAAACGTCATGTATCTGCATTTACGAATGTGGCTTGTAAAGTTAACAATATTGCTCAAATCCACTGCTTAATTTTATGAACCCCATATGGTCTCCTCTTAACACCGTAGAGACATGCATGGTTTTCCGTACACGGAAAATATACAGCTTGTAGTTTTGAAACCCTGAATGCAAGTGTAACAGCAGGTCGGGTTCAAAATTATTCGGGAATTAGAAAAGTTTTTTAAAACCGAATCATACTCTTCTTTTGAGTATGAGATTGGAAGAAGATGTGATTTTCTACCGTATAAGTGAAAGAATGAATATTTTTATGCATGTTTTCCATGAAATTTAATTGAATTTTCAAGGGCATCGAAAATCAATGAGAAAATTGCATGCCACATAAGTAGTCATTTTTTGCAGAGTATAGATCTTGCATGCAGCCGAAAATGAGTTCTTTCGAAAGCCGAATCCCTGAGGTAACTGGATCATTATAGATTTATGCTGCATCATGATTAGTTTTACAACGCTACTTAATTTATCTTTTCGAAGCGAGAACGCATTTCGAAATTTTGGTTGACATTTCATGAGTTAGCACATCTACTGTAAGTCACAAGCGTGGCATCGAAAGATGATTTGCCAGAGTATCCATCAAGGCATTAGTTTGTGAAAAAAGAGGTTCCTCAAAGGGGCAGAGTTGAGGGACGTCTAATAGTTGCGTGATGCATAATCAATGGCGTTCCATGGCTGCATAACAGAAAGAATAGTATTCGAAAATCGAGATTACCCCAGAACACTGGTCTAACATACCTGGAACGTCATAATTCGAAACAAAGTCTAGCCCATTGTTGGCAAACAAGAGGCGCTGTAATGCGACCATCACGTGTAGGGATTCACCACAACGCAGAAAGTACCAAGATACACCACGGCACATCAAACTCGCAGTGTGACCCCAGCTTATTGCTCTGATCGGGTTTGACTGGCCTGTATGCGAGCTATCTACTCCTGACCCAGTGGCCAGCCTCTACACACACGCCAATGGGAACACAGGAGCCAAGCTTCGAGTCAACGAAATGCACGCTGTTCAGTCAGGCCTTGGCAGCGGGGAGGGAGTTGTAGGGGAATCCAGCTAAAGGCTACACCGTCTATAGATGCTGCATACAGGCGATGACCGCTATGCACAGCTTTTGGCCGCTACCCCAATCACATCTGCGCCCTCCAGAAGCCAGGCTCTGACTACCGGCGAATTAAGCCTTAGGAAGGTCTACTGTAAGGATTAAAGGCAAGGATCTAGAGAAAGCCCCCAAGTATCACTAACTAGCCACAGTCGCCTGTCTTACGGAAATGGTGGTAATAGCGCAGCCGATGGTAGTTAAGGCTAAGTCTGACGACCTCCCAATGGTATGGACTGAGATCTATGATGAGCGATTCATTCAACAGGTTGCTGCCTGAAGTATCACAGCTCTCCCAATGGCAGTTAATGCTAATGCGAAGGGCATGGTCCACGATAAAGAAGTAAAGCGCGGCGGCTGTTTCTCAACTCTCTGAGCCAAGGTCCTGGTAGCTTATGCAACGGGAAGTCGGATGATAGCCTCCCAATCGAATGTGCGAGTCTACGATAAATAAACACGTTTAGGAAAGTATCGAGTTAGGTATGACCTACTTAAACACGTGTAGTAGACATCCTTTGTGCACTGCAGATACTTGGATATTTACCCGATTAAGTCCCCCCACAGAGGATGCGGACCACGTTGTACATTTCATGAGGAGCTGTGGTAAACGACCAGGTACGATGCTGTGTGAATGGACATTTCGAGGTCTTAAGAAACCTCATAATTAGAAGCTTTTTTAAAACCTAATCATACTCCTTCCTTGAGTATAAAATATAAAGAAGACGCGATTCTCTACTAAGTGGCTGAAAGAAAGCATAATTTTATTTATGGTTTCTATAATATATATTTGAATTTGCAAGACCATCGAAAATCAATGGGAAAAATGCATGTTACTTAAATAGTCATTTTTTACCGAGAACGGTTTCTAAAGGAGATTGGAAAGCAGTACATTCAAAAACTGACACTCTGACGAGTCCGAAATGTTATAAGCATATGCCCCAAGATAATCGGCATTACAACCGTGCCCACGTAATCCTTCCTAATCGAAAACGCTCTTGGAAATTTCAGCCAACATTTCATGAGATCGGTTACTCACTGTATATCATATTGGGGAATATGCGCTGTGTTCCGTGAGGACTTTGTCCACAGGGTCGACGTCATGTTCTCTTTCCTCTCCCTGGCACCAGTCCACTCTCCGAGTCGGTTAGTCATCTGATGCGGAGACCAGTCTCAAGTGGTAGACGGCCGAATAACTCGTTCTTCAGTGCTCGGACTTCCACACAAAACGTCGAGCTTTCACACATCAGATGGCTAATCGGCTTGGACAGCGAACTGGTGCCCGGGAGAAGGAGAGAGAGATAAAGATTTGCACGAATATGCCACCGGTGTCCCTTTCATTTAGCAAAGCGGTCTTGTGTCAAGTTTTACTGAGTTTCTGTCGTTCACATACTAGAGTTTACGAAGTTTTCATTCCGTGAACTCTGCTCTTCTCTGGTCTGATCTGCTTTTATTTACTTTTTTCATTGGCTTCCTCGAAATATTTCAAATCTGGTTGACATATTTGGCTGTCTGACCAGTGTTCAGACCTAATTCAGGATTTCCAACACTCGAGATACCCTTCCCTCAACACGGGTGTGATCTAGACGACGAGGGTTGGCAGGCCAACCCGAACCGACTCGATAAATGATCTCAGGACTGGCTTGCGCAGTTCAACGTGACCATGTAGAACATCCTGCGAGTCAGCGGAGTCAGAGCGCCAAACTGCAGGTCTTATCACCTCAATGACATGCCGTTGAATGAGGAAGACGCCTATAAAGACTTGGATGTGTGGATCACGACGTCACTTAAACCGCCGCTACACTATTCAAACATAGCAAACTCCACAATGTCAGCACTGTACCTTGTCAAGCGGCCTTTCTCTACCTTCGATGGAGACTGCTCCGCTAAGGCCTTTCAAACGTTTGTGAGGTCACAATTGGAGTTCCTCATTCAAACGTGCAAACCCTACACCGCTAGGAACCTCAAGGTCCTGGAAGAAGTTCGAAGGGGTGAGGCCAGACTCATTAGTGGACAGGGCACAGTGCCCCCTGAATCACGGTTATCCAATCTCGATCTCTTTATTCGATTTCTAAAGAAATATGATAAGAAAGTCAATTGGTAAATACATATTTTCGGTAAGTCACCATTAGGCCACTCCTATTACACGGAGAATGAAATTATCAGCTATGGACAAGGTTTGTGTCTCCGGGGTAAGGATTAGCCACACTCGTCATTCTCACACCGTCTGAATGACGGCGTCAGCGTGTTGAGAACGTAGGAGCCCGGGGGAAGGGGGATGAAGGGAGGAGTCTGTATGTCAAGCACAGGGGTGCATTCGACTGTTCTCAGGACGTTGGAGCGGCGTACGATCACTACCTGGAGTCGGCCAGAGAAAACAGATCGCCTGTATCAACGTCCCCTGACAACAGAGTGCTGGATCAGCTAACCGAATAGTCACTGCTTCAGTCGTTGCTAGTACCCGTTTGGGTAGACCTTTAGAGTATTGTGCTGGCGCCCGGTAGATAACTCGAGAGACTCATTTGACGTCGACTGGGTGGTTTGTATCGATTAGGTGTGCGAGAACTGAGCTGGAAATCGATCGATTTTCCCTTTTACCTAGCCAGGTAGGCAGCCAAACTCCTCGTTGTACGGCCAATATATCTCACTCCACATCGATGTGGCCTGCAGCAGCGGTCGGTCCTTACCCCTACCTCCGCCCGAACCATAAGAGGGGTGAATTTGCGAAGAATAAACGCCAGTTCGCTGCGGGGAAGACCCTCGGGATAGGGGTCCTCACTAATTCGCTTGTTCCTCTGCATCATGCGCGGTCAGGGCTGCTGTCACGAACTTGGAGACTTCTTTGAGTTAGCGATCACAACGAACCTGTGGAGTCATCCACTAAAACTACGTGTATCTGGCGCCAAGCTGGACGCACGGAAATTCTTCTTCATGGTTTACCTCGACAGAGTGATTGAGGTTTGCAGTGCTCTGGCTGCAGACCTCGTTACGTGGACATCCGCCGAGGCTTTTGAGGGGAAACTGGATCAGTCTACCGTTATACATCATAATGTCACCTGACCGATATCGCATTGAGGCTGTAATTGTACTGTCTACATTTCAGTAACGTTTGTTTTTGAATTATCTTATTACCGAAACACCTGCGCACACATGACGCCATTCACTTTAGCGCCTGCGGATAGCTGAAATATCAGTACTTTCTCTTGAGCACAATTGTGCACAGACTGACTACCGTAGAACGCAGTTGGTGATACCAGTGTTTCTGACACTTGGAATAATTAGCCCATCTGTACATTTTCTATTATTTTTCTATGCGTGTTTGATGCTTTTGCCGCCCAGATTTTGGTATAATCTCGACGCTTGTAAACCAAAAAGGGAGCTGAAAAGTGCATTGCCTACATTTTCCTCAAATAAACTGAACCGAACTGAACTGAATACATAGGTCATTTATTCATTCCTACCCACCAACCTCTCTCCAATCACTGGTGTGGGCACCGGATACGGTTACAGTGCAGGTCATCGGTTGCATGTAGGTTAGTCCTGTTTGTGTCAAAATAAGTGGTCTTACTTTCTGAAAAGACCATTTTCGTCCCTGCGCAGGAAAGTGGGGTGTGGGGGGTCGGCCTCAAAAGGGGCCAGGTGGCAGATGCGCTGGACAAATACGGAGGCCATTTCGGATTCTGTCAGGCGTTATCGGAATTACGCACCACAACAAATGCCAACATTTCTGGGTGCGGTGGCAAACCCGGTTGCCGGCAGACGTCACGCACACTGGGACCCCTGTCGCCCCCCATTGTTGTTGTTGGTCAAAAACCTGGTCATTTGCTGTGTGGGTCAGGGGTTTTGGAGTGGAGCGCCAAGGTGCGGGCTCGACCGTGCCATCCACCTGCGCTCTTCCCCGCCTCCGGTCTTCTTGATTCTGCCTTGACACCGGGTCTAGGTGGGAGAGGAGGGAGTGCAGTAGATGCTGTGCAAGTCTACTATATTATTCACTAATTAACGCAGATGTCGCCGTCCATGCTCTCACCTTGCAATAGAGCACACGGTGGACATCGTCGGCAACGACGGTCGAACTGTCGAGGAGACTCAGTACCTCCTCAGGGTAACCGACATGTGATGTTCGAGGATGACTTGTACAACATCTGCACCTACGGTCCCTTGTAACTGACTAGATCAAGCTGACTGACGTCATGATTGGCCGGTCTGGAACTTGCCTACTAAAGACCCCCATGGTTAGGGGAAAAGGAAAGCCATACCTTTGCTAACTCAACTTCATCTTGTTCCTACGGGTCGGCAGTTATTTTTTCTCCTTCGCCCGCTGTCGGCTTCCGGAAATCGGTGACCTAACCATCCCGGTAACGCAAATGTCACCAGTCTGACTCTTAAGTCTGTCCCTTCACAGTGTGCTATGCCAGGGTCTCCCGCCACGTCGACACTCCTCAACACAGACCCCCCTCCCACACACACACACACACGCATGACAGTTTGACCATCGCGTCCGACGATGTCCACCGTATGCTTCACGGCAGGGTGAGAGCAGGAACGGTGACGTGCAAATATTTAGTTTATAGTGAATTTTGACTTGCACTGCAGCTACCGCACTCTCTCTCCCTTCCCCACTTGGACCCGGTGTCAGGACAAAATCAAGAAGACCGGAGACGAGGAAGGGCGCAGGTGGATAGCACGCTCGAGCCCACACCTTGGCGTTCTACTCCACACCCCCTGGTCTACACAACTGATAAGTAGGTTTTCGATTCACAACAACAATGAGCGATAGCAGGGTCTCAGTGTGCGCGACGTACGCCGACAACCGGGTCTGTCACCGCATCGCGAAATGTTAGCATTTATTGTGGTGCGCAACTCCGATAACGCCTGTGCGAATCCGATATGACCCTCATGTTGGTCCAGCGCATCTACCACGTGGCCTCTTTGTGGGCAAACACACACACACACACACACCAAAACTGGCCTGTCTTGTCCACAATTCTGCATTTCAGTCGTCGTTACTCTCCAGCCAATCTCGCCCATTGTAGGGACTCCAGGATAAGATGGGTTTCTGATCTGTTCCTCTGACCTGACCAACGCAAGCGCGGTAGTGCACACATGACAACGTACTTGGTCTGCCCATGGGCAGAGTCAGCTGTCGAAGTTGACTAGGTTTCTAGGATCTGATGGTCGGCCAATTCATGCATAACGATTACCTGGAATTGCCCACACAACAGGGTCCACTGTGGACCGAAACTTGGCCGCCTTTTACCCGCTGTCTCTTGTAGTAGGAGGAAGTTTAGCCTTTTGTCGTTGTCCGTGGTTGAACCCTTTTCAAATGTCTACAGCAGGTAGTATCATGTCGTAACCAACAGGACACTGAGTCCGTGGCTTAGTGGTTAGAGGCGTGGAACTCCTAACCTAAAGGTCGCGGGATCGAGCCCCAAATGTTCGACAATTCAAGGTTGGGTATGACTGTCTGACGACGGCTAATAAGTCAGAAATGGCCACTCCAGTCTCCCTTATCATTGTCGGTAATGCGATTCTGTCCGTCCACACGATTTCCCAATTTCCCAACTTCGCTGGTCAGTAGTAATTGCCTGAGTGCTATTGGTGCATGTAGGTCTGATTGTTCACAAACTCATGATGACATATTTAACAGAATTCCCGCCTTTACTATTAGCTCAGACCATAAGGAAAATTGTTTCACAGAAGGAGACCACACTACTTGGCCTAAGGCCACAATTTGGCCGACTCCATTACTGTTATACTAACTGCTCCCGCCACAAAAAGACTGTTCTCCTTTCTCTCCCACGTAATGCGTCCTCCACTCTGTGCGCCACTCAGCTCTGCAGTTCACCCGTTGGTCCGTCCGGTGTAGTCAGTTGGACAAACTGGTGTCTCTTACCTGCGCTCTCCCATTTATCCCCAAACAAAGTGCAATGAGGTGAACGAACCCACCCGATTAATCTTGTTTCCTCGTCTTCTCCAGACGGCCAAAACAAAACGAAGGAAATGGACTGGATTTGACCATCGATTAGAGAATTTCCTTGCGGCAAGTGACTACTGCCACGGTTCAAACGTTATGAAGTTAATACCAAAATGCACAAAGCATTATGTATTTTGGGTGGGGAAAAAGCTAAATATCAAAAGCATGTAGCGGTATAGACTTTTACGTCCCTGTTGATTGCTCAACTGAGAGTTGACATTACATGCCACCGACTGGCATAGGCGTTGGTGATTCCAGTCTGTCAACCGGCGGCGTCGTGGAGGCCTTTCCTAAGATCTCCATCAGCAGTTGCATTTCGGCCACGTCGTCTAGATCCAGATCTTCCGTCTCCACTCGCGGTTGCTGCGAGCATACAAGAAGAGCACAGAGCGCAAGACCCACAAACACTTGCAACATCGACATTTGGCGGTCGCTCGTCTGATCCCCTCGGCGGAAGGCGACGATTAAATAGTCATCTTTCTATGACCCCGACGGCTCAGTGGTGGCCATCTTAACAAAGCAGAGGGTAATCCAGGTTAGGTAAAACTACCACTCCGATCACGGGTCGATCTTAATCGCGCTGCAGTCCGCTGATAAGTGGAGCTCAAGGAGCGCGAGATCTCATTCGACGTTCGATTAAGACGGGCTTTTGACCCTGTAATCACGATCTTAAGGACATGTGGAAAAAAACGGCAATTTAAGATCGTGCGCAAATCGGACGCCTACTGGTGATTTTCCGAATTCCGTTGACTAAATGGAGTTTATACCTGCATTATCTTCTGCAAACCGATTACTATATCTCACAAACATCGTTTACATGAGAGCTATCGCGTCTGTTAGCCCTTGCAAATAGCATTTATAGATTTTTAATGCCACAATTCTGACAAAAGCGAGTCAGGTTTTCAACAATGATTCGCGAAAAACTGCTTAAATGCGGTTCAAAATAAACTACGTACGAACTAGCCCTTTTCATATCATACCAACCAACTGCTACATTATTAAATTATAGATTCGCATAGGAACAAATCGACTAGTGATAACCATTCATATTCTAATTTCTTTGTGGCCTAGGTAATTTGAATAAACCCCGTAACTGTCAACGTGTTGGTGAAAACGAAATATCAGAAATGCCGACAGTCAAGGCGACAGGTTCAAAATAATTCCTCTGACAGCAAACAAAAACAGGGCCGGAATTCGGTTTTGTCGTGGGAGAGATTTGTCGCTATTTAGCGATCGACTGGATCACAATATCTTTCTCCCATTATCAGGCGTTTCCAATTTAAAGAGGAGTTTCCTGCGCGTTTGTTGCCGGGGCTTAGAGATGGGGAAAGGAGCAGATGACGGCGATGCATGCATTTCAGAAGACGAAATCGTAATCGCTAGAACAAAAGGTTTATTGACTCGACGTTTCGGACGCTCGCACGAAACCATCGTCAGAGAAATTCGCAGGTAAAATAAATATTGGGGGCATAAGGAGCGCACTGCCTATAAGACCATGCAAGCAAACTCAGTTTAGAACGGCTGTCTGCATAGGAAATTGCCCAACTCTGCAGCAACATAGATTTAAGCTCAAATTTATAAACATTTAGTCTAATAAAATAATCTAGACACATTATGTACACGAAAAAGGTGTACTTTCCAGAAGAGACCAGGCGAATGAGCAGAATTCGCAAGGTTTTAGGTGCCTAAAAGTATTCATCTCCGTTCCTATCATCATTTTTATGAGTTAGATCACATCCTGAGAAGAGTATCCATCAGGCCACTGGGATATGCTCTTCCCGTGATGACTTGGGACTCTATTTATAGTCCTTGCAGGTAGTCGCATGGTAACTATTAACATGTGCAGATAATCGAGTGTCGATATAGACAAGTGAGACTGGAATGACCGTTTCCGGCTTACTAGACGTCATCAGCCGGTCATACCCAGCCCCAGGTCTGAAGCACTTGTGGTTGGAACCCGGGATCTTCGTCATAAAATGGAAAGTTCCACCATTGAACCACGGGCCCGCTATCCTGTTGGTTGTGGTCGAGGGTGTTATTTTGATGGAGTGGCGCTCACCGATCACGTCACGGTCTCGAGATTGAACCTCAAGACACAATGTAACAAGCATGTCTACGTCGTCGCGACACCCTCCTCAACAAGAGATTGAGGCCGAATACGACTGCTTTCTTGACTATTGTCCCCTACGGCGCCGGGAAACGGGGCAGTTAACTAAGGTCAGGCAGACGAACCACTTGCCCCGCCGCTACCACCGGAGAATCCCGATGATAATATGTAAGTGCGGCTTCAAGGACTTGTAATTAGGTCTCATGACAACTGGTTACTGACTTTTTGGAAGCCGTCGGTTGCCCCCTCAAGTTATTTGATTATGGGCAAATAAGGAGGAGCAAGTATTCGCCGCAAAAGAGAATGATTTTGAGTAGCTAAAAAGCCTGAAACAGTTGCGGTCAAAACAACTGCATCAGAGAAACTGAAAAAAAAGATAGACGTCACTCGAGGAGACTCGGTCGCGCCTTGATGTTAGAAGCGGTAAAAACTTGAAATAGTATTGATTGTTTCATAGACTCTCCTACCCACCAACTACCCACAAACGCTACCGTTGGGACTGCCTACACTCCTTAAACAACAGCCAGCCAATCACTGGCGGCCACGTGCGTTTTCTCTACCGCGCTGTCAGTATAATCGCGGCGCCTCTCCATTGGCTGCTCCCCTCGAGCCGGGTCGCTCTGCGTATTCGAATTATCGACTAGCTCGTCTAGAATGTTCTTCCTGAAGTGCATTGGGCCGAATGCTGGCGAACAATAGTAGGATGTTATAAATACGTGTTACTTCCAGCTAGTCTTGACTTTCAGTTGCTAGTACACTTTTTCATAGCCGGTCCTGTTAACCTTCTCTGTCACTTTAGTTTTGGGGACAAACTTTGAGTGCGCATTCGCTCCACGTGATTTCAAGTACCAGGTTGGGTCGCAACAGCTACGACCTCCCCGCGTCCTACTCGGTACTAAGACTGCCTAGGTGGGATAACGATTCACTCGGAGAACGCACGGATGAGACCCGATTCAAGTGACAATACTAGACAGCCATACTGCAGAATAATTATCCCACGAATCATAATCACTGCGGCAGGTGACGCGTTGCGCGACAGAGATGGAAATAATACCGGTTAGATCGCAGTTGGTAGCCAGGACTGTGTAAGCGAAACGTAACCGAAATCAAAAAACCCAACGCTAACCCAAACCCTAGCCATAAACCTAGGCCTAACGCTAACATTAACCCTAACCCCTAACCTTAAACTTAAGCCCGACCCTAACCTTAACCGTAACCCTAACGGAAACCTTAACCGCAGTCTGTAAACATAGCCCTAACTCTAAAACCTAATAGCAACCGTAATACTGAAACCTAACCGTAAAGTCCAACCTTAACCTTAACCCGGAAACCTAACACTGAATTCCTAGCCCTAACCCGAAAATCGGAAGACCGTAAACGTGAACCCTAATCCTAACCTCAACCCATTAAACGGAGGCCAAATTTTCTAACCCTCACCAAGAAAATCAGAACCCTAACCCCAAAGCCGAACCCTAGCCCTAAAGCCAAACCGTAAGCGGAAACCATAACCCTAACCCTAACACTGAAACCTTACCCTAAAACGCAAACCCTAATCCTGAAACTTAACCTAAGCCTAACTCTAACCCTGACTAAAACCCAACAGCCTGACCGAAACGGGCGACCTGCCTAACTCATTAAGAGCACACCCACTGATGACAAATTCCCTAGACAAGGTAAGCACACCTACTGATAACAAGTAATTGCGTCGACAGTATCAACGTATAATGTCTGGCTACTAACTGCGATCTTACCGAATTACCAACACACCAATTTCGGAAAGCGGCGATCAGTGAGGGAGATGCAAATTATGTCAAATGCTTGAATGCGTAAGTAAATGACACGCTCCTCGTATGTACTTTACCCTTTTCTATTCCTGCATTTGATGACGGATTCGCATGTGAATCCGAGACTTTAGCCAAGTTAACACCCACTTGCGGTGGTCGAATTCCCTTCTTCTCGTCTGCCCTCCGAATCCGGCCTTTTCTCTCCACTTGCATCAACAGCAATAGGCCAAACAGTACGGGCGTGAGACTGAACCTTCAGGGCACCACTATTGCATGCGAATTACCATTTAAAAGATGCGGTAGGAAGAATACTTTTCCAGCTTGACTTTAGTCCATGCCGGTTCCAATAAACCAGTCCCTTAACCATTATCTTTTTTTCGTCTTCACCATCAATACCGCCGCCGCTGCCGCTGCCGCCGCCCCTACCACCAGCACCACAACCAAGGATATACTGTTGATTTCTTACATTCTGATCAAACACAAGAACTCAAGCAGCTATTAGTTGTCGATAATTTTCACATATTCAACATTACGTAGTGCTCATAACTTGTAGTTACCGTCTCTCGAGTTACTGAAACGTCTTAGAGACCGATCACGAGATGAATTTTAAAGTTTGCGGGAGACCATTTCAGTAAATAACACTGTAGGTTTCGTTGGTAGGACAGCTTCAAGGCTGGTCACGGACTCAACGGCGATCTTCCACACCAACAGAATGATCTTTCGACAACTGCATGAGGCGGAATTTGCGGAGTCAGCAAATGCCCAATAAGTTGCTGTCACGTAACAATCAATGGACGAAGCGAAATTTTTTTAATATGCCTGTCTACAAAAGGTTTTTTGCCCTATAATACTGATTTTGATCGGGTGAAATCGGAAAGAACTTACCCAAAAATGGCTTATGCAACAGAATATTCTGACCTCAGAATTTGGTGTGCAGAACAAAAGACGTCTGTACTTCAGCGTAAGCGTTTTGTCTCTGAAAAATACTCAGGCGAGCCACTGTAGAAATCAAGAAGTGCAATTTTATTTTGCGGAAATAGTCACTACCATCGTTTTCAACCGTGAGAACATATACATCCTCAATGGCCTTCTAAAAATGTCGATTTATAATATCCGAACTACATGTTCTAGGACCAAAAAGTCCTAGTTCAGACTTCGTTGGGGGTATGTAGTAGAGACGTCTGGGTTTCACTGGCGGCTATCTGATCGCGGAAACGGCAATAACATGCTCTTTTATACATTCAGGGCTTACGACAGTTCGACCATCACGAATGATGGCGTCCACCATGTGTGCCACGGAGGGGACGCAGAACCAGCTACGTCAGCGCGGGCTAGTTTATTGTGAGATAGACTTGCGAAGCATCTATTGCACCACCCCCTCCTACTCACCTGCCTCCGATGACAAGATAAGACAATATAACGGGAGTTAGGCGACTACGCCTGCCACACACGGTTTGGAACCCGCGTGGTCAGCCGGGTTTTTACGGAAAATGGGCGCCACCGATTGCATTTTAGTGGAGTGTCATAGAGGC